CGGGGGGGGGGAAGTGGGGGCAGAAAAAAAAGACAGACATTCGGAGACAAGGATTCTGGGGTTGTTTTTTTTTCCCCCAAGCTTTTCGTTTTCTCTCATTTTCAAAACAATACAGTGCCGAGCTCACTTCTCACAGTAGAATATAATGGTTGCTTTTTCGTATAAAAACACATTCTCAGTTTATTTGTAAATGCACTTAGTGCTGGAAAAGGTGGTGAAGGACACAGTACCTCTGCATTTGGAGCCCCCCCCCCCCCCCCCCCTCCCTCTCTCCCACAGGGAAAATCTGAAATGCCTGGGAATCACCTGGCATCAAACTCCCAATTCCGGCAGGGCACCTGTGGAGGAAAAGGAAGGCTTTTCCGTTGGCCGCCGTTCGTTCGTTCTCTTTTGAAGGTGGAAATTAAAGTATGCAAAACGCTAAGAGCCTGGACCCCCCCACCCCCACCCCCTTGAGACAGGCCGCAGCTGAAGACGCTGCAGGGCACTGGAGGCTCCGGACTCGGGCAGCCCACCGCCCACTCGGGGGTCCCCATGTTTCTCGAGCTCAGCCTGGGCAGGAAGAGAGCGCAAGAGGGATGACCCTTTCTCGGGGGCTGGAATGGCCAATTCACACACACACACACACAGAGCCAGCCAGCTTCTCTTCCCCTGCTTCCTGGCAGCCCTGGCACAGCATCTCCATCCCTCCGGCCTGCAAGGGCACAGTGTCCAGACCCCAGCTGGGGATTGGGGGCACCCAAGGGGGCGACCCTGGACCCTTAAGAGGATTTCACTGCCCCCCCTTCTTGACCCAGGCGTCTGCAGCCAGATGCTCCAGAGGTGGAATCCAAGCAAGGATGAAAGTGAAAGGACCGAAGACCCGCCCCCCCTTTTCCACCCTGAGCCTCTCTTCTGCAAAGGTCCGTCCCCCTCCGCACCGCTCTGGTCTCCCTTCCTGGTTCTCACACTCAGACAAGTCATGAAATGAAATACGGCCATTTAAAAATGAAATAATAATAATAATAATAATAATAATGTTTTAATTCAGAAATCTCCTGGGGTTATGCTGATGTATGTGATGGAGGGGTGGGAAAATCCATCTTATAGCAGCCAAAAACTGTACAGCAGGTTCAAACTTAAAAAAGTCACTTCAAGTTTTCAAGTGTTTTTTTTCCCTTCTTTAGACCCCCCCAGACCTTCACCCCCAACCCCAATTATTAGCTTTAAATCGAAACAGTGCAAGTTACAGACTTCATCTAGAAAGCGGGCAGAATCGCTAAGCCTCCTGGATTAGCGGGAGGGGCCGGGGGCAGTCTGCGCCCTTCCTTGCCCTCCCCCCATCACAATGCATTTCAAAAGCCCCCCCCCCCCCCGCGAAAGAGGGGGGGGGGGGGCCTTCCCAGGCAGTCCGGCTGGCAATGCCCACAGGCAGGCACACACCCGTTCCCCCCTCCCCCGGGGCACCCCCGGAATAGCAGCAAAATCTCCCTGTTCCCACTCTTAGCCGCCTGACCCCTTCCTGAACGGCACAGACCACGCTGGGCCTGGTCAGCCGGCCTGGGGGCGCCTCTGCCCTTATCTGTAGACGGGCAGGCGGATGTGGGCGTGCTGGTGGTCCAGGAGGCGGGGCACGGAGACCGTCTCATAGCCCCTGCCCAGCATCTGCTCCTTGATGCAGGGCGGGTGGATGTCGTTGATCAGGTACTCCAGGGACTGCAGGCTGCTGCTGAGGATGGAGGTGTTGCAGGCGGCCTTGCTCGGCAGACCCTCCGAGGGAGGCAGGTCCCGGGGCCCGGTGGGCAGCTCCTGGGGGTGGTAGCAGTCGCTGCTGTTGGGCGTCACCAAGACGCTGTTCCAGGCAGGGGCGAAGTACTGCCCCACCGAGAAATTCCCATGCACGCCCACGCAGTTCAAGGGCGAAGAGCTTACTTTGTCCGCGGCGGCGGCCGCCCCGTTCACCGGGTAGGCGCGCAAGACCCCAGCACACACCTCGGGCGACTTGCTGTCCGCACTATACATCCGCAGCGGCTGCTGCTTCTGCTGCCACAGCAGGTAATCCATGCTGTCTGGGTAAAGGCCCGGCTTGGGTCCCGCCAGGCCACTGCCCGGGTTGGAGCCGGTCACCAGTTCGGCGCCCTTCCGACAATCCGGCAACACAGCACCCGTGTAGGCCACTGCTGCCCCCACCGCAGCCATCGTGGTGAAGCTGCCCGCGGTGCCGTGCTTGGCCGTGCTGGGGTTGGTCACCGCCTCCCCCTGGCACAGCTGCTGCCCAGCCTGGGCCTGGCACTGCTGATTGATCTGGAAAATGATGTTCTGGATGGAGGGCAGGTTGGCCTGGGGCAGCACCAAGCTCCGGCCGGCCACCGTGACGTTGGGAGGGACGGGCGCCTCCATCTGCTTCTGGCCACCAGGATAGCCGAGCTGGGCTGCGCAGGATGGCCCAGGCGCTAAAGTGCTCGCCAGGGAGTAGGGGGCCACGGCCACATGGGCAGGGGACATCTTAGTCCGCTTGCCCTCGGCACTCTTCACGGCCCCTTTGCTGGCAGATGCCCTCACGACGGCCAGGAGGCCCTGGTAGCTGCTGGCGTGCAGAGGGTAGGGGCTGTAGCGCTGGCCCATCGTGTCGTATCCGTTCACCGTCCGGTTAAGGTGCTTGTGCTGGGGGACCCTGATGTTGGTGGGGAAGATCTTGATGGTGAGAGGGTTGTTTGCCACCTTCTGGGCATAAGCGTCGAGCTCAGCCGGGCTGGGGTATCGCGGGGAACGGATGGGAGCCATGGCTTCACCTAGGAGAGACCAGGAAGAGGTGTGATATGCTGTCATGCCTGTGGACACCTGTGGAGGTCACTAGAGCGCTCTCTGCACCATTCAGGCTGGCAAGTTTAAGAGGGATGGACTTTGTGGCTGGCTGAGGGATTCTGGGCCCTGAAGTCCCCCCATGGGTGCCAAGGGCGAGAAACCCCCCAAAGGCTCCTCCGTCCTCACTGGGTAATCCAGGGACAGCGCTTCCTGCCCGCCAAGGACCCTGGGGAAGCGGAACCAGCCCATTCAGCTTACATCGCTTCTTCCCTTCCCCAGTTCTGGGAGGAAGCAGGGACCCTCCAGACTGGATCCCTTGGCTCAGCTGGCAGCCCCAACTGCACCCACAGGAGTAAATTCCCCCCTCAAATTGCGTCAATCTCTCCAGCGCCTCCAGGAAACCTAGGTTAGAAGCCGAGCCACTAAGGCTGGGCGGCTCCACTCTTTTCCCCTCTGGTAGTCTGCCCCTGCTTGGGGAGGCTCTGCTGAGCACCAGAGTCACTGGAAACAGTCCACACACCGTCTTTCCCCTTCACTCTGTTTGAAGCCTATTTGTCTCCCTTCTCCCAAACAGATTCCCTGCTCTGAAAGATCGTCTCCCTGGAAGCCTTTTGGGAGGGGGGGGGCGGCAATTCTGTAGGAGAAGGTGGCGGGTGGGAGGGAGGAAGCGCGGCTCTGAAAGGCTGGATTTAAACCGTATTACACAAGCAATTTCATGGGTGCTTTGTGGCACTAGGAGAGCTCCGTTGGAAAAAAAAAGAAAAAAAATCCATTTACCCGCTATAAATCAGCACTTCTTATAATGAGCACAAAAATGTCACTTTTATGCAATTTTACAGATGAACAAAACTGGTGAAATTAACTGTGGTAACCTACTGTAGTCAGCAGAAGACGGCTCTGAGGAGGAGAACGGAGGGAGAGAGGGAGATTATATGGCTTCTGCCTCTCTCAAACTCCTTTCTTGAGCTAGTTTCTGGTGTGAAAACTCATTTGTTGTTTCCATTATGCTTCCATTTGGAGTTTATCTTGAGTATCCAATGAGCCACCAACTGTGAAAATGATTAAATCTACAAAATCTATCTAATAGATTGAATAAATTAGGTGTTTGAAGAGGCCCCCTCTGAAAAGAGAGGCGGGAAAAGAGGGTCTGGCTGAGAAGAGGGGAAGAAAGGCAAAGAATAAGGGAGAATTGCAGGCCTGGACAAATCCCCCCCCCCCCCCCCCCAAACCCCCCCCCCAGTCTGTCAAAGCAGGTGTTGATGAAAAATCCTGTTTCTGCTCCCTGACAATTCCACCCTCGCCTCTGAAAGCAAGCCCAGAATAGCCTGTCTGCCACTTTCCAAAACCAAGCGAGGTTCCACTTTGCTCCTTCAAAGGCAGCAGAGGCAGTTTGTGATCATGAAGGAAAAAAGCCACTAAAAAGTAAATAGCAAAAGGATTTGCAAAGAGTCCAGGGAAACAAAACACCGCAAGACTTGCTCTCCAACTGTCTCAGCTGAGGGGCAGGATTCAAGCCCTGAAATGCCAAACGGCGTAAAATCATGTGTATCCCATCCCTCCCAAGGCTCTGGGAATGGTGGGGGGAGGGAAAGAGAGGCGTGGGGAGGCCCCCTGCGCTTGCCAACTCTCGGACCCCTATCTCCACGCCCACCCACTTTGGGCACCAAGGCAGTGCCCGCTTGTGCTGTGGCAGGAAAGCAACCCCTCCCTTCTCTGCCAGCGGCTACATTAAACGCAGCTCGAAGGGCGACGTTTTAATTGACTTAATAGCCTGGTTAATAACAATCCTCATTCCAGACACCTGTAAAAAGCCCGTAACGTGAATGGCATGGGGGAGGCCTGGCCAACGTAGCTTTTCAATGACGGCTGGTTTAATGGAAACCCATGATTAAGGGGCGAGGCGTGAAGCACCCGTGTGCCACCCTTCTCGGGCGGAAAGGGGGCCCCTGCAAAAGCCCAGTCCGGCTTCCGTTCCCCACTCCAGGCAAGTGAAGCAGAGGGGATGCCATTCACAGCCGGTGCCCCCTCTGCTGTGCCTGCAGGCCAGGCCTGGTGCCCTGGGGCTGCCAAGGGCAAGGCTTGGAAGGGGGGGACAGCTGCCAGCACCCAGAAGGAGCAACTTGGGGGCTTTTGAAATCCTCTCCCAGCCAGGCAGGCAGGCAGGCAGGCAGAGGGCCCTTCGGTGCTCCTGGCCGTGATGACCCTGCTCTAGGAACCGTGACACTAAGGGGCCGCTGACAGGATGGCTCCTGGCATGAGGGTTAGCAGGGGAAGGGGCTGCCTGCACAGAAGGGAAACAGCAGCCTACGTGGAGAGAGGCACCAGGCACATCCTGCAGTTGCCACCTGCCCACCTTCCCCCCTCTGCCCCCCCCATTTGTGCCCCCAAAATCACAGAGCAGGTGGGTCCCCAGCCTTTGGCTTCTGGGGGGGGCAGAAAATGCCCCACACACCCCTCACAGATCGGAGGAGGAGGAGGAGGGAGCCTGCCGAGCACAAGCCGCAGATTCCCCCTGCGGTCGCCTCTTGGGGGGATGCTGAGCGCCTGCTGTGAAAATGACAGAGGAACCAATTTCCGTGGGGCTCCTGGTGCGCTTTGGAGCTCGGCTTGGCAAGCGTCCCCCCCGTCCCCCCCCCCCCCCACAGTAATTACTGCTTTCCAACGGCCTGTAATTGCTTCCTTCGCGGCACCCTCGCCATTGTGCCACCGCACTCTTGCCTTGACACGCTGCCACTGGCCCACATTGCTGGCCTGTCCCTTGCCCTCCGCCAGGCCAGCCGGGAGCAAGGCAGCCACAGGGAGGGAGGGGGCTCTTCCTGAAGCCCTCCTCCCCCCACCTGCCCTCTAGGCTGGGTCTGGGGGCTTCTAGTGGCCAGAATGCCGCCTCCTTCCAGAGTTCCCCAACCGGCTTCTTCTTTTTTTCAGAGCGACTCCTTTTTTCAAAAATATACACTCTTCCAATCCTGCTAATAGCACATGAGAAAGCGGATAGAGATGAACGGCCTGGTTTTGTCCTGCCTTTCAAAGAAAGACAGTCGGGGGCGTTTCGGTAGCTGAACCTGAAAAGCAACCAGGCCCAAATAGGTGTGAAGAATCGTCAGAAGAAGAAGAAGAAAAACCCTCAACCTTTCAAAATCCTCAGTAGGTATTAAAACAGGGGTGAGGCTGGTCTCCAATCTACGCCATATTGAATTTAAAATGTTTTAACATCTTTCATTAACAAGTATATAGGCTTGTGTGGAATGGGGAAGAAACAGGTCGAAGTCTCTGCAACATTAAAGATTAAATACTTCTTTTTTAGAAAAAAGAAGTCATTTCATAAGCTCATTGACCTAGAAAAAGCTTGAGTTAAGACCCAATTTAATCCATTCTAATTAAAGTGATACCTATTTTAAAAGCACATTGAAGTGACCTGCAGTGCAAAGTTACGGAGCTCGGAGCCATCCAGAATCCTCCAAACTGCCTGTTTACGGAATCTTCTCTTGTTTCAACTTAAGTATGTTATTGTGCAATTTGCTTTTGCTTTCTGTGGACTGCTTTGAGGCTTTCAGCAAGGAAAATGCAAGAGTAACAATATATATATATTTATAATTTGTATTTCTTTTTCAGGAAGCCAACCCCCCCTGGAAAGATATCAGAGGAGAAGGCAGGCGTTTTCATTTCCACCATCAGCTCCTCCTGTCTCCATCTCAGCTCATCTCTTCGTATTTTTCGGGGGGGGGGGGGGGGAAGATCCCCAAATCCCCGTCAGGAGCAAAAAATTCCCCTCTCTGTCTTTGCAAGCTGTTCAATTTCCCTGACTTTGCATTCAATAACAGCTAAATAATTGAATCATCCTGGCTGCCGAAGATGGGCTTTGGATTTTATTAGAATTTTAAATTGTTTTGTTTCTTCAGTATTTTATTACAGTAAATGGAAAAATGCACAGCCCACGGTAATCATCTGGTGGCTTTTGATATTATTCAGAGCTGGGAGCACATCCGGGAGAGGGAGATGGAGATGGAGCCATCAGGAGGGCTGATGAGATTAGCTCTAAAACAGGACTTTCGGCTCACCCAAATTGCCCACAGATGGGGGGGGGGGGGGGGACTCAGGTCCAGCCCTGGGAAAGGATTGGAGGGAGGGGCTGCCTGGACCCTCCCCAACGTCAGTCCAGGGTCCCTGCGGTGCTTCCACTCCGTTTGCAGCCTAACAATCGCAAAGGATGGAGCGCGAGGGCTCCATCACTGGGTGGTTGCAAAAGATTAGACAGACATTTGACCAGGATGGTGCTGAGTGGTCCACTTTGGAAACCCTGGTTCAGAAAATCTGCAGAATCAAGACTGCGAAAGGCCAGACAAATTCCCCCAGCGAGAGCCCTGATCCTAGCTGCTGAGATACACCCTCACTTTCTGCCCTGGCATGCAACACTTGTCCATCAGCCGTGCTTTGCACATCAGGTGTGAGAGAAGTGAACCTGGGCGAAGGAGGACAGAGCTGGCCAAGTCTTCTGCCTCTGGCCTTTTCCAATTAGGTAAATAACCTGTCCGTAGCCCAGAAATCAAAAGCGGGGAAACTGAGCTGAGTAAAATCAGAGAAAAATGACCCTTTCTTTGGCAGATGCTTTGCGGGGGTTCAAAGCTGGCCCCCACCCAAAGAAGAGGAAGTGGGGAATCTGCTTGAAAGCAAAGCCACCTTGCGAATCCCTCCCTGGGAGACCCTCCCCCCTCACTCCTGGGCAAAGTGCAAATCAAACTCATATTTGCACTACTGGCAAGCAGCACCAACTTAGAGAAAACCAGCTGAAATAGACAGGAATCTCCTCGGAGAAGCAATTAAATATGGATTTTTGCTCCCGAATTAACAGGTTTTCCAATAATCCCGGAGTACCAGCGGGGCCTCTGCCAAAGCCAGGCCTTGTGCCACGCTGCCCGAGCAAAGCAAGCTTGCATTTCTACCCAAGACCCTGAAAGGATTCCTAGAAGGCCCAGGAGGGGGACGGCTTCACTCGGATGACTCACCCTCCGCCTCGCCTAGACCAACATGTGGCTGTCAGCTGCTCGGAATTTAACACCATGAGTTTATAAAAAGTCTGGCAAGAGAAGAGACCGAGGTTGGCACCACTCAGCCGCTGAAGGGCAGGTGGCACCTACGGCAAATCCACCAAGTTGGGACAGTCCAGGGGGAAATGGAGGTACAAATCGCGTTACGGAACGAGTCGAAGCTCCTTTTTAAAGGTGCAGCTCAGCTGTTTTGCAGACTTCAAGGGCAGAAGGTCCCTCCAAGAGGGGTAGGGCACCTGCTCAAGGATCTGGCAAATAGACCCCCCCCCCCCCCGACGGAAAAACCAACCAACCCCACCTTTTTTGCCCCCCCCAGGGTCCCCCCCCCCCAACGCAGCCTGCGGCCTGGCGCTCATCCCTCTTCCTGGAAGTGACACGGCGTGGACTCAGGCCCGGACGTGGACGTGGCTCTCCATCACGTGCTCCAAAGTGGAGCTTCCCTCTGGAAAGTCCTCTTGCTCCCCCCCTTTGGAGGAGCTTCTGCAGGAGGGGAAGGCGCCAGGCTGCAGAAGGGCACTGGGCATGCACGGAGGAAGTAGGTGGGGGCCGGCTGGGCACGAGACCCTAAGCACCCCAGCCCCCAAGGGCAGCCCACCCTCCACTCTTCATCCACAGGGAGCTTTGCAGCCCAGCCCAGCTCCCCAAACCTTCCCTTTCTCCCCCGGGGAATATTTATCACTACTATTCGTTTATTTGACTTACTCGCTGCTTTTCTGCTTAATGGCGGCCAAAGTGACATGCAGCGAGAGTTGTGCTTACTCATAAATAAAAGCAGGCTCTGGTTCGCTAGGAATCGGGCTCCCCTCTTTCTGCCTTGCAAGGGGGACCGAGGGCCCCCTTCCGAAACCCTTTGCTTCCAGCTACCTGGACTCTCCCGGCTGCAAAATGCTTCCTGCCCACAGGCCCCCCTGTTCATGGCAACAGCCAGGCCCCTCTGGGTATCTGTCCTTACCGGAACAGAGCGGACAGGCTGGTGCTTTGCCTAAGGCCACCATCTCCACCGCTTGGCTCCCTCAGCTGGTGCCCAGCGCCTGCCGGCAACCCGGCTATTAAAGGAGGAGCTCAGCCACACAGGCACTTCTGAGTTTGATTAGTCGAGGCTTTGGGGTGGGCTCACCCAGCCGGGGAGGAGGTTCGCTCTGAGCCACTAAAAAGTAAAAGGCTTAGTTTGCAGTGACAAGTGGAAGAAACAGGGCTGTGTTTGCATCACAATGGGACAGATTGTCCTTTGTCTGCCCACAAAGAAAGTGGTTGTGCTTTGGTGAAGAAGAGGCTTGTCCGCAGCAGGCCCTAATTCAATTAAGGGAGGATTATGCCACTCTGCCCCCTTCCCAGGGGCCCTCGGTGGGTCCTTCTCCCCACAGGACCCCGAAGCCCTGGAAGGCCAGAGGAGCCAGGGACACCCTTGATCTGAGGGCTCCTGGCTGCTCTCTGGGCTGGGCGGTTTTCTTGCAGGCGTTTCATGACCCAAACTAGGCAGCCTCATCACCAGAGTCTGTCAGAAAACCACCAAGTTTTCCCCCTCCTCCTCCCCCCGCCCCTGCAAACTCCGCTCTCTTTTAGCACTGATGATGTTACCTAGTTGGGTAATGGAAGGTCTGCGAGAAAAGGCCAGAGAGCAGCCTGGGCTGCAAACGTTCTCCTTTACCGGTACACGTTTAGTAGCACCCCCCCCCCCTCTGTCTCATGAACGATCAGACATTTTATGACAATCTTTGGGGAGGGGGCTACATAAGAATTTGAGGGTCTAGAGGTAGCTCCCTTTCTCCTACATCAAGGTGCTTGGTGGGCATATCTTGGGCAGAATGCCAAGGCCGATCTGCATGCACAGAAGACGGATGTTCTGAGTCACCCCACAGCCGACAGCACCACTCCTGGCGCTTCTCCTTAAACTCCCTTCATTTTTGCAGTCAGGTCTCAAAATCCGCTGGGTTTCCCTGGGTTTGGGGGGGCTCCAGTTTGCAGGACAGAAGGGCTGCCTGGCAGGGCTCTGGCTGGGCAGCTCTGGAAAGGGGGCTGTGCCCATCATGGGCCTGGCTTGGAAAGAAGCTGCTGGCCTTCCCCCTCTGCCAGCCGTGGCACGGGCAGTGGGTGAAGAGTGCCCATGGAATCAACCTGCTAAGTAGCCGTGCCAGCCTGGTTGCTCTGTGCAAAGCCGAGTGTGCCAGAAAGCAAAGGGAGGGGTCCGGAGTTCTTGGGGGGGGGGGGGGGGGGGGGGGGGGGGGAGAGAAATGTCACTCTCTTCTGTAGCTCCAGCACAGGCAGGAGGGCAAATATTAGCAGGCACACCTTTCATGCAAAATTAATACCGAAATTAATCAACGGCCCGGGTGCGTAATGGGATTCTGCAGCCGTGGCAGGCTGTGCTGGGTGGCCGACTTATTTCATGCTGACGGAAAGGAAGCCAAAGGACATGAAATAAGGCCCATAAAGATAATTACCGAGATACTTGGGAGCAAATTAAGTAATCAGAGGCGCTTCTAAATCATGTCTAGTTTTAAGAAGCGCTCTCGTTCCTGATTACTGAGAGAGCAATCTGGAAGGACAGGACAAAAACAGACACACACCCCCTTTTTCCTCAATGCCCCCAAGACCCCCTCAGTGCAAAGACCCCCACCAACTCCCCCCCTCCCCGGCCCCCTGGGTGCCCCTTGGCACAGCTTCTCCTCTGTGGGTAGAAGCAACAGCCAAGGGGAAGAAGGATCACGGAGATGCCCAGGCTGGGAGCTCCCTGGCCCTTCATTTGCGGGGTGGGGAGCCAAGCGAGGGGAGGGGGAGAGAGATCCGATTTCCCTCTTGCTAAGGAAACCAACCCAGGCCGAGGGAGGCCCAAACAAACTCAGCCTGTGCCCAGCTCAATAAAACTGGAAGTCTGAAAGTTTACTGGCATGACGACCATGATTGTTGCATGCACCCCGAGAGACCAATTCCTTGTGCGTTTAATCCCACTTGGCCAAATGAAGTATGCAGTTCAATTCAAATCCTCCTCTCCAGCATTAAACAAATGAAAGCAGGCAGAAGGATAACCGGTAAAGCCTCCCTTGGAAACACCCAGCCTGACCCTCCTGGGAAGGAGAGACTGGCGCCAGGTGGAGAGAAGGCTGGGCCGGCACAAACCACAGAGGATCAGTGCCAGCCGGGGGCATGGAAGGCCGTTTTCAAACGGTCTTAAGAAACAAGCCGTCCTAATCTCCAGCTGCTTCGGATTCTTCACCCCCTTCTTAAGTGGCAGGAGGAAAAGGGGCCCCTGCAGCCACCGCGGCCCAGCCCAGGCTGTGCCCTGGCAGATAGAAAGCGCTGGCACAAAGGAGAACAATCGTAAAAGAAAAGAAAAAACACCTCCTGTTTAAAACACACAATAATCACTTGAGAACCTTAATGTGCCTTTGCAGCCACAGAGGTCAGCCCGGCTCATTAAATATACATTTAATCATAGCTTTGGATTTAGAGACGAAGAAGGCCGGGCACAGGTGCTTGGCCGGGTGACCTGTGGAGACCTACATCAAGGTAACTCACCCCCTCATCTCAGCATCTCAGAAAGCCTTGTGGGCTTGAGTGGGTATTAGAAGGGAGGGGAGGGGAACTGCAACAGGGTACTGCCCCCCCCCCCGTGGCACTCATGCCGAGAGCCCCTTGCTCTGCCTGGGACCACCAGGACAAGGGTGGGGGCTGCCTCTGCTGCAAACAGCTGGACCTTTGCCCTCCTGGCTGCAGCCACCGGCCCAGAGTGACTCACCCTTGCGTGGCTCCAGGGCCTTATTCGGACAACCCAGGGGCTGCCTCGGTGGGTTCTGGGTCCTCTGCAGGCAGGCCAACATGGCGGAAGAGAGGGTGAGACAAATCTGGTGGCATCACTCCAGAAGACCCTGCAAGGAATCCCAGAGAACAGGGACGGGGTCAGTCCATCAGCCAGAAATTGGGGGAGGGGGAGTGGACCCCTCCCCAGCATCACACAGGGCCAGGGAAGGAAGTTGCATGCAGCGTCATTCCAGCGTCAAAGGGTGCTGTGCACACTGGACAAGCAAAGCTTCGATTGACCACCAACCCTGCCCAGCTCCCAGGCCTGAGTTTCACAACCTTGTTTACTTTAACACGGGTGGACTTCAACTCCCAGAGTTCCCCAGCCGGCATGGCAGAGCCAAGCACCAAACACAGGCAGGCGCTTTGCGGCCCACCCAGAGCTCTCTTGCCAGCTTGCAGGCCTTCAAAAGACTGAACAATCGGCCTCCCTTAAGGGCAGCGGGCACCCAGGTGCCAGGAGGACACGGCACAGTCTTGCCTGTGATCGATGGCTGAGTTGCGACAATTTTAGGGCAGGGGCCATGGTCAACAGCAGCCCAGCAAGAGCTCCCACACCTGCCAAGGTGAGCAACTTGGGAGGGGCACTGGGGTCCCTCCAAAGACCCAACGGTTTGCAAATAAAAACCAGAGACCCATTGGAGAAAAACAACCGACAGGAGTTTCTCTCTCTCTCCCTCCCCCCCCCCCCCCCCCCCGCTGCTAAATGAGCCAAGGGGGCACCAGCAAGTGGCTCCTTCCTGTCTCTCACCCAGGAGGGGCATCCTGGCACAGGGAAGGCGTGCAGGCGATCCTCTCCTGGAGCTCCAGAAGCTGCTTTGGCCCAAAATCAGAGACCGAGCGAGGGGCTTCTCGCCCTCGGAGAAAGGAGCTGCCTAAAACTTTTCCATTTCCACCCAGAGGGTCTCATCCGCTCTGGTCCTCACAGCGGCACCCCTGCCCCCCCCGGCTTTCCTCGAGGCCTCGGCCCTGCCTTCCCTGGGGAGCAGAGGTCCCCCAAAGTCTGCACACCCCACGGACGGAGGCAACTGGGCCTTCTCGCCAGCCATCGGCTGCGGCTGCTGCTCCTGTTGAACCGGCGCCTGGAGTTGCCAAGATCCTGTTCCTGGTACTAATGAAGCATTCAGGAATAAAAGCCCTTTTCACCGTCTTTCTTAAGATGCTAATTTCACAACAAAAGTTCGTTACTACATAATTATCTCAATCTAGATTCCCCTCCCGAATCTGTACCAGCCTTTCTCTAAAAAAAAGGGGGGGGGGAGAAGAAAAGGAACCCGAAGTCTGAGGCACTTTTCCTCATCACCAGCTATTTCATCTTCCAAGAAGCTACCTTGAAAAGAGCGATTTTTATTCTGAAAGGGACTTTTCTTCTGTCTCTAGGCAGCCAATTTGCGCCTATTACTGTCTGCCGGAGCAAAGGGGGGCGAGCCAAACAGGGCCAAGAGCCCCTCTCCAGCAGCTTCATTCGAGGGGGGGGCAGATGGAGGCCTCCCCCAACCCACCCACCCACCCCTGCTTTGAGGTGGGCCCTGAGCAGGGAGG